GGCCTGGGCATGCTACTTTAAGCTTCTATGTGCAACCAGGGTTGACAACCACTGACTTAACTGAAGGAATGAAACTCCAATTGTGCAGCAGGATGAGGCAACTGGAATATTTGGAGGACTTCCCAGAACTGTCAAACTCTTCACCTGGGCCAGCAGTTCCATGCATGTGTCACCTGTTTCCTGCCCAGGTGGGTCAGAGGTGATGAGCTGGCTTTATCCCAAGGCTTCTCTTCCTGTTTTCCCATTTGCCATTTCCACATTAACGTGGCTCCTTTAAGACCTTGGCGAGCCTCCTCTTTCTAAGCACCTATCCCAACAGGCCTGGGGAGGGAGGGTCCCTCAACTCCTCAAGTAGTTAATCATAGGTGCAGCAAGCTATGGTACAGTGCACAGGCCCCTAGGGGAACACGGGAAGGAGCGTTCAGGGCAGGCTTCCTGGAGGAGGCAACCCTCATCAGAGGAGAAGCACAAAGAAAGGCAGAGAGGTGAAGAGCGGCGTTGGAAGCTTGGGTGCTGGCAAGTACTTTGGAGAGCCTGGGAAGAGTACGCACGGGGAGCGGACTGGGCAGGCACGGATCGGATCAGAGAGCCTGGGTGCAAATCTAAGGAGTCTGAACTTTTTCCTGTCTGTACTGAGGAGGCTCTTGAAACAGAAGAGGCAGGTGACTCGATTTTGCATTTTAGAAAGGTGACTCTGGCCTTTAAGAATGAATAAGAGTCAGGATTGTGATCGACATGTAGGGAAAGAGGTAAACACCACGGTGTTACTTTTCCGTGTGTTGGAGAAGCACTGGGACTCTTTTGAGACCACGACGCACGGAACTGCTGAACGTATCTTAGGGGGAAACATTTCAACACGGTCTCTAGTTAGTCAACCCTGGCTCCACAGCCCCTCTAACTTGATTAGGCAACAACTTCGGAGGCTCACTCACTGGAAAGGGTTTCCCCCAGCAACCAGAAGCTTGGAGATGACACCAGGCTCCCGTTCTCTTGTTCAGATGTGGATGCACATTACAGGTAAACTACAGCAGGGACCCAGAGCCCTGGAGACACGAAATGGGTCAAAAATCACATTCCACACCCTTTGCTGAACAACCATAGCATCTCCATTCATGTCTTGGGGAAATCAAGTTTCCTTAATAGTCCCCAGAGCTCAGGTCTGTTCATCCACATCAGACACGGCCGGATGGAAGAACAAAAGCGCAGAGCTTGGAACATTGTTTTCTGAATCTACAACTGTCATTTTTTAGCAGCAGAGGCTTTTGGCTAAGCCTTGAGAATGCCATGGTTCCAAAACCTCACCACTTAGCCTGCCGGGGGCTGGCTCAGGAGGGCCCTGGTGAGCAGCCAGTCTGTTTTCTGGGTGCAGTGGGACCCGTCTCCCCTCCCCCAGTGGATGCTGCAGCCAGCTTCCTTCCACCACACGCCAAGGTCCCACAACATCCTGTGTCCCTTCCTCAGAGCCCGAAGGATGATACAGAGCTTATGTGCACAGATGTTTCTGTCTGCTGGGAAAGGGAAGTGAGATAAACACCTGTCAGACCCATTCACGGGCCAGGGAAGGAGAATTCTTGCTTTTGAGCCATCGGACAGCAATGGGACACAGGAGCGGGGAGCAATGACTGGCAGGCCCATTCCAGTTTTTAACAGAGGAAGTCTTGGCCAAATAGAAGGAAATATCAGCAAGGGCAGGCAAGGAGATAATCCTTTCATGTGCCTCGTTGGGTTTGGTTTTGTTTTTTTATGTGCCACCCAGGGGCCAGGATACCAGCGACACCAGCCAATAATCTTATTATCAAGAAAGCCTGGTGCCGGAGAAAATCCTCGACAGGTCCATTGTCTCATGGTCTCACACGATCCTCGCCCAACAGCTCAGCCAAAAATACTCGGCTGCACGAAGCAACACGTGCCTTCCCCAAAGCACACAACCTGGCCACACAAGTGGCCTTTCATTTCCAAGGCTCATTCAGCAGATGAACTGGCATTTATAAAATTCCTTTCGAAAGCATAAAACAATGTCAATATTTCAAAAAACGTTTCCCCGTTCCCCAAGGTCACCAATCTGGCTGTGGTATTCTCCAGCCAATTTATCTTCCTGCTGTTGCCATAGATAAAACTATTTTTAGTGCGTGCACAACTGGTTTGAAGGCAGATTTTTTTTTAA